AAACAAGAAATAATAGATAAAATTATTAAATATAAGCTCACAAATAATAACTACAAAACGTTTGATAATTAAAAACTAATAAATTGAATAAATTCGATTGAATAAATAAAATAATAAAAAATAAGCTTCCATGCATTACAGAATTCTGGCATTTCGTTTCCGTGGTGTGCCCTTTTCGCTACAGGGTGTGCTGGCCATGGCAGAGGCAGCGGTCATCAGCATTCTGAGCACATTTTTCTGCGAACCGTGGATACTGGCACAGGCTGCACGATTTGGCGACCGTATAACTGGTCGCTCCTGATAAGGACCCGTGCAGCCGCCTTCTTTCCTCACCTGTCACCCATCCGCTTATACTGCCCTCCGCATCCCTAGCCTAATTGAACTCTTCATGCATCATGTTGTACAGACCAGTCTATTGCTCCTCCTCTGCTCTCCAGTTTAATCACTCAAACCCAAATTTAGTTAAACGAAATAATGGCTGTCTCAGTCTGATGATGAGTTCCTAAGACCACCTGCTACAGTCCAGTAGTGTACAGTGCGCTAAATGAATGTGCTGGACACAGTCTCGTCGAAAGTATAACAATCGTCTGCTCTTCATATGGAGGGCATTTTTATTAAAATCTGTAAGCTTTTTTATTATATCCGCCGCTAACGTTCATATCGCACACCGTAGGTCCTTATCTGGCGATTTATAGATGCCTGCATTCTTCCCCTCATTCTTGACTGCTCTCCAGTCAATTTTTCATCTTTACTGAAAAAGGCCTGGTCATTCTTAAACGTATCCTCTGACGGCTCTCTTCAGCAGTCGGTGTTTCCTGTTTTTTTTAGCTGACATTATAACACAGCGCCAATTTAAAACGGTCAAGCAATTTGCTGATCGCATCCTTAGTGAAGTTGCTCACCTTCTCCACTCTGAACTAATGGCTGCGAAGTCTTCTCGTACAATGCGCTGAGGCTTCCGTCATATGTCCCGCCGTACATCGGCATATCAGCACTCTGTACTCCCATTCCCAGCACACTACCTCATGTATGAAGAAGCGGAAATTGAGAAGTTGAAAGCTGACCTGTTTGCATAGCATATGTTGATATCGTGTATAACTCTAATTTTGAGTATTCTATGACCTTTTGCCTTTGAACTTTTACCATGACCTCTTACTTACCTTATCCCTTGTTCTCCGTAAACGGAGCCATTTTTGCTGCAAATTTAGGATATTCCCTTCTATATAAAGCATTCCCCTCTCCCTCGCTTATTGCCAATTACAAAAGTATCTGACAAGTTTGTGGGGGCATTTCAGTAAGTTTTCAGAGTGAAGATGCTAGGCTAA